TAATGGATGCGGCTCAGGAGCTGTCCGCGGTGCTGAAGGAGCGACATCTTGCGCGGACTGTCGCGGCTGCAAAGTGCTCACTGAGCGCACAGCTGTTGTGCACGAGCACTGATCTGCGCTTTGACAAATAATAAAAAAAGCTAAATAAATAAATAAATACATAAATAACCTTGCCCAGCTGAAATCGAACTCTACGACGGAAACAAGTGCAAAGCAGCACGCGGCTGGTGCAAAAGTTGACCCGTGGTTTCAAAAAATGCATGCACGAGGTTCTTCTGCGCAGGAACCGAACCATTCCAGCACCGCGCCGCTCCACATTTCACAAGATTTATTAAAGTTAAAACCAACACGTGGACTCAAACCCATGCATRAGAAGCTCTGCAAAGCTCAAACACAGAAAATAGATCTTACCTGCTTAATGGCTGCAGGAAGAGAATCTTTCCGCCCACAGATCGGCCAGCTTATCTCACCACGATCAACACGTTTGTTTGTTTGTTTTTTCTTTTTTGTATGTAAACAAAACAGAGCAGAYGCTAAACAAAATAAATGTGAAAAGAGAATCCAAATGTTCTGTTTTCGGTGCTGAAGTCGAGGCTGCAGCGTCTGCCTGCGTCAGGGGGAGACTCAGAGATCCACTGAGCGCTGAGTGATTTAATTCGGGGGCTGAGCTCCTCTCTCTGCTCGCCTCTATGTGTTCTGGAGAGACTTGGAGCCCCGATCGGGTTTTTTTTTTTCTTTTTCGTTTCTGTCACACCGGCGTCCACCCACTCTCTGAGGCGCAGATATCCCAGTATCGGTTGGGGTGGGGTGGAGGGGTGCCTGCGAGAGGAGCGCGCGTGCTGTTGATCCTCCAGACTAGCAGAGGCAAAGTTTAAATCTCATAATAAGATTGCGTGTCACCGCCAGGCTATAAATGGTGGCTGGCTGCTCGCAGACGGATGCCGGGAGGGTTGTGCATCTGCAGCTGAAATAAAAGGAGGAGCGGGAAGGAGAGCYCGACGATAACCCGGTTCTGGCACGAGCACTCAACAGTTTCAAGTTAATAAAGACGGTTGGAGAGTGGGAGAGAAACGCAACCTAACGCCAGCGACGTCACATGAAGCTTGAACAGCTTCCTGTATGAAACTTTTCCGTTTGTTTTTTTCCACCCCCTCCTCAGAGAWTGAGCTGCACCTCCGCGCTCTGGAAAAATTAATCCGAACTGCCCAGTTTCGCAGTCTTGCCCGGGGGGTGTTTAATTTAGTGATGCTTGAAAGGAGATTATTTCCTTTCTGAAGGAAASGACCGGTGGTGCGACCAGCAGGGGGCTTCTTTATAATCAAAAGCCTTTTTAATACGATCATTTCTTATTATTATTTGGTGGCTCTTTGGAAAAGGAAATGTGTCTACAGGGACGATGACTGGATATAAAGCTCACTGCAGATTCTAATGTATTCCAACTATGATTAGCTGCTCACTGATTAATTTTTACCTGACAAATGTGATCAAGCATTTTTATTTACCTGCAGTTTAGACAGACTTCCGGTGAGATATGAAATTAACTTACTTTACATTGAAGGTTTACAGACATARAAATGTAGGAAAAAATAGAATTTGGTGAAATTGTTTATAGCTGTTTGTTCACTCATGAGCAAGTGAGGCTTAAAAAAGTGGATTTCAGCTGTTTTAAAACATTTAATGTGCTCTTAAACACCTTATTACAGTTCTTGCAAAAGCTYCTTACAAAAAATTTCAAACATCTGAGGAGTTTGCTTATTTGCATGGATTTTTTTTTTGGCTTTTTCCAAATGCAGATAGCAAAAGCAGCAGGTAGCTGTAGCCCTTTTGGTTCAGCATGGGCACGTCAAGCAGGTATATATTATTATTTCTTCTGGAATACCCATGTAATGTGGGAATAAACTGTCTAAATTTAGTAGAGTTTGAAGTGCTCGCATAAACGCTGCGACTAATTTATAAAAATGACTTCAAAAGTTCCAAATTCAAGCATCAAACTGCAACCGTCAAGCAAGAATGTTGTTAATTCCTGAYACATTTTGGAAATTTCTTCACGTATGTCGTTCACCGACTAGTCTCCAACAGCCACAGCTCTGTAAAACATTTTATTTAGCTAATCTGGGCAGAATTAAACCATTTCTCCAAAAAGCTGACGACAACAGGTAGAATTGTTTTCAACCATTTCCACAAATCCTCACTTCACCAAATCTGAATCCCTTCAAGGGTCAAACAGAGGGGGTTAGAGAGGGAGGAACTGAGGAATGATTWAAACAGCCCACACATCCCTGAAGAGGTCAAACCTTGACCCCTGAGATAGTAAATCAATACAGGTCTTTGATAATTTATTTAACGCTGGAACATTTGCTACAACCTGAACATCTGCTGACATAAACTGATGCAGGAAAAAATGACACCAGATCTCAACTGTTTTCTGTTCTTTGACATGGTTTATATATGGGAATGTGACAACATAATCAAACATGTTTTTAGTCTCCATCTACAAAACAAAAGTGCAAAACAACAAAGACTTTTGATTTGCAAACAAAGGGTAGGGTTTAAGATTTTCTAACTGTGGTAAAAATGATCTGAAACTCAAGGGTTAACCCACGACTGTCTATTCCGTTGCAAATGTATTTAATTTATGTAAAGTGCTGCCTGATGTCCTCTGTAATGACGTAGTCTGGGGGATGACCCGAGCCAGGAAGCGGCAGCCCAGGATGCAGATTCTCTCCTTGAGGGGAGGAAGCAAGTAGCTGCTGGAGGACTTGGCACWGGATGAGGCGATTCCTCGTCTCATTGCAGCAGTCACGTCGGAGCGTTGAAATGTGGAGATGGACAGGCCGGGCCGAGGAAGTCACAGCGATGCAGCAGCAGCCTGGGGAATGACAGACAAACTGCATTATTCGCCCTAATATTGTCACAACCCCCCACTCCGGTGCACAAACGGAAACAAACACTGCAGCCTCCGAGGCCCTTAGTGTCACTGAACGCCACCCTGAATGCAAAGCAAGCAATTTTTTTTAAAAAAGTCAAGCGTAAGGACATGCAGCTGGAGGAAATGACAAACATAAGTCTTATGGCTTATTTCTTCCAAAGAGGCGCAGCCCTAGGAGGTAAAACGGCCATAAATTCCCACATTTCCACTTAGGTATAACATTTTAATTATTTATATGGACTTTCTTTTCTTTTTTAAAAGAACATATAAATTATGAAGACTTTAAACAGTAGCAGACGGAGAAGCTTGATGAACTGTTATAATTAAACTTCCCATCTGATTTCACCCTGAGGGGACAGTTGTGCTCATGTCATTTATGTAGAAGTTTTGATTTTCATTGGGGAAATAAACTCTTTTTATCAGGACACTCATCATTTTTAAGGCCAAGGAACCAAATCTGTAAACACTGCAAGAAGGAAACCTTTTAGATGACTCACTAATGAAGGCAAAGGTGATAATATTTTCAGAGGCTTATAGTAACTAAGTACATTTACTTTGTTACAGTACTTAAATAGTTTTTTGAGGATTTGTAATTTTACCAATTACTTTTTTAAAATAGTTACTTTAACTTTTATTTTGTTACATTTTAAAGCTAAAAACGACACTTTTACTTCTTTACTTTAAAATATAACACCTAGTTACTCATTAAAACATGTTGGAACTCACGAAAGAAGATGTTTCTGCACTCTAAAAAATGAAGTGTTAAATATACTCAACAAAGTCATGTCAACTGACTCCCCTAAGCCTAGTGGAGTAAACAGAGCAAAGAATATTGCTCAGTTTACTCAACCTGGTTTAGTGGAACCTGTTTGGTTCAGTAAATTCAACAGTTTATTTCCTAGAGAGTGTGTAAAAGTACTCTTACTTTAACTTTCCCCATCTTTGTGAACAGTTTTATGACTTTTACTTGAGTAGTCTTCTCATCAGTGAAATTTATTTTTACCAAAGTCATTTTCTGTTCATGTAATTTTACTGTTACTTGGTTTTTTTTTTGTTTTGTTTTAAGTAGATCTGAATAGTTTAACCCATGTCTGTGTATGTACTAAATACAATTGCAAACCTCCAATTTCTGTTTTCAACTAGATCTAATCTGTGTCTCAATTTATTGTTTCCTTCCAATAAGCAGGGGATAAAAGCAGCTCTTGTGAAATTAAAAATATGTCTAACTGTAATTTAGAAAAGTATAAATTTACTGCAGGTTTAATTTCTACCTGTGAGCCAGGTTGATTTTTTTTCCCCACTTTGCATTGGAGAGGGCTGGTAATGCTTAGAAATGAGAGAGATTATGATGTCACTGAGCGAAGTTTAGGCAGTTAGGAGGAGAGGAGAGGTGGACTGCATTATTRAAATCCTTCATTTACCGGCTAAGCCAATTTGGTGCTGAGGCAAGTGACAGGGCCAGCAATATTTCAGGTTTCAGGGGAGGAGACAGAGACTGCTGGTGTACTTAATTAAATTTCTGCTGGCATTGAAGTGCATAAAGTCCATCCTGCTGGCTAAACAATGGGGCATACATCCACAGCCACTTCACCAGTTGTAACTGTGTGTATAGACTACTTTAACCTTTTGTAGAACAATTTCAGTCCTGCAGCAAAAAAAGAGAAAAAAAAAAAAAACGGGGAAAAACCTCACATGGAACAGGTGGAGAAACAGAAAATGGCACAAATGCTGCGAGTTTGAGTCCATGTTGTGTCAGGAAAGGCCATTCAATGCTTGTTGTGACGACTCCTGCAGAAGAGAGCAGCCAAAAAAAACTGCAATATTATTCAGTTGCATTTGTCAATCAAATGAGAGCAACAAACATGTGAAGAGTGAAGAAAAATAATCCTCATATCACTAAAATCTGATCAAACATCATCAAAGCAATAGTCAGTGCAAAAGCCAGGCTTTCTATGAAGTTTTACATTTCTGATCTGAAGAGGGACTRGCAGTAAGGCAAATGAAGTGAGTAAGTGAGAAACTTGTTTTCATGTCATGCAGCTCCGCGAGTCTAAAAAGTCTGTTTGCTTTGCTGAAATATCAATCAGCTCTCGGCCGAGACAAGCAGCCTGATTTAAGATTTTATCCTTTTATCAGTGGCTCTGCAGGGGAAGTGAAACGTCGCTTAAGTCCAAAGTATTACCCTCTGTGACGTTTATTGTTTCTCTGCTTTGACTCGGCACTTATCATCCTGCAGTCAAGGTGTCAAACTTGCTCTATAATTTCCCCAACAGTTCAAGAGGGAGAAAAAAACTGTAATAACGATAACTCGCTCTGTAATTTAGCGAAAATGTGTCCACTTTTGGCACCCTCTTCCTCTCGCACGTTCCCCGTGAAGACGGCTGACAGGCTGGATGCTGGAAGACACAAACAGCTCACAATGGAGAGCGGAGCGTGGGCAAACTCAGCCAACACTCAGGGAGGAGGGCCGGGGCCCTATGGTGGCTGCCTCAGCATGGCCAGTGAAATAAACACACCACCTACACTAAAAGCTTTACAAAAGGAGGCACGGCTCTTCCAGCAGCTGTGACACGCAGCCTGCACCCCGTGACTCTGCAATGAACACGGTTTATTTACGGTTTTGATGGAAGAAAGGCTGAAAATACCTGATGGTGGTGCTTTCAGCTCGCTCAGCTAGAAAAACTAGGGCTTGGAGAGTGGCAGGCCTCCTCTAATAACAACGGAATGGAGCTCCAACTTACTGAGATTAGTTATTTGGACAGGGAATGCAAACCCATACAGCACAARTGTGTTTGCTGTGAAAAGCAGTGTGGATGTGGAGTGTTTAAAGACTTTGCTATAATATTCTGAAGAAGTTTTAATGGGAGTTGTTAAAGCTAAAAAAAAGGGAAGAACATTAGCTAAAATTTAAAAGAAAGAAGAAATTATCCAACAGGAGAAAAGCATTAGGTAACAGCTAAACATAGGCTAATATTAGCCAAATGCTAGTTGTGTGAATGCTAATAAAGCAAAGTGACGTGATCTCTTCAACAATTCATATAACCCATTCAGCATATTCCAGTTATTACTTTTAGCATTTCAACAATTCATACTTTTCAAGATATTTAGCCATTTTTTAGCCATTTTTTTTAGCCATTTTTGTTATTCTTGGAAATGGATGGAGCTGTCTTCAAAACCCTTAAAATCCATGAAAATAATTAAAAAATTCCTG